AGTGTTGTAATGGTACACGTTATTTGTATTTCTTTTGATAACGCTCTCTTTTTCTAGTGATGATGGTTTCACTAGATGTGGATATACTTCATATAATCTCGTAATTTCCGTAGTGAATTTTTTCATGATTTTTTATATGTATGAAAGTTAAGTCCACGAGAATCTGGGCAGAAGCGTAGGGAGAAACTACATGCATGATTGACCTCGTGCATTGGTGGCAATGAGGAAATTCTGAGGATTTTTGGGGATAATTTCTACTGGTTTTTTATCGGTTGAGTTTTGTGTGAACTCTGATGATGAAAATTGTTGGTATCGCGATATAGTGGAGTTTCACAACCCGTTTTACGTGAAGTGGCGCAGTACTTGGTGAAAAACGTGAAATTTGCGATATGCAGTAGACGTGAAATATGTTTTTCACTAGTTTTTTTTATATCACTAGGGTGAAGAAACTCCAGAGTTGGAATATATATGTATTTTTAATATTATAAGCAACGTAATGCGAAACATTTTGTAATGTTCGGGAGTAGACATGGTCGTATTTGTGATGAAATTTCGGTGTTTAGTTGCATTTACGTGATGTGGCGTATTACTCTATGTGAAAAACACGATATTCGCGAAATGAAGTGAATTGCACCGAACAGATCTTCTAATCTCACGTGAAACAGTCGCGGCATTTTACGCGTTATTCCCTACTCACACGAAGTGAAATATGTTTTTACTAATGCCTTTTCTTCATATCATTGGTGAACCTCCCTCGTAGGTGCTCACATCTGGTACGCTATCGCCTCTTTCGATGTACTCAAAGTTGTTGGGCCTTGACAGAGTTGTTGTGAGTGAGGCTTTGGACATCTCTCTGGAAAGGGATTGTATTCGGCCGTTGATCGTCACCAGGAGTAATGATGTCGTCCTTAGCAGTAGTTTTCAGTCGCGAAAGTAAACCAAGTTGGTGTTGTTTTTGCTGTGAGTGTAGTGGTGATTTTAGGGACGAGGAAGTGTCGAAGTGTTATGGTACTTTACTGGAAGAACTTGTTCAAGTAGTTCCAGATGGTGTGGTATGCTTTTTCACATCAAAGGTCTTCATGCAACAGGTAAGCGGAGCGATGGTCTTTTTTAATGTATTTGTTTACGCGCGTGCTATTGAACTGCTGATATTCAGTACAACAGTGGAGTTTCACCACCCTAGTGGTATGGAAAACATATATCACCGCGAATATCATCGCGTTTTTCACCGAGTTTTACGCCACTTCACGTAAATATGTTTTCCACTAGTGTTTTCATGATATCACTAGAGTGGTGAAACTCCATTGATGCTACTCAGGTGGTTCGAACTTGGTACGATTCTGGTACGCTAGCACGACTAAGTACACATAAAGTGGTGTTCTTCGAAACTGATGATGTTGTATCTACTACTATTGCACTGAGCAACTATCGCGAGGCCTGCGACCAAGGGCGTGGGGGACTATTCCTTGCTGTAGCAAGAGGAAAGGTTAGTGAAGGAATTGATTTCGATCGTCATTACGGGTAGGGTTTCCGGGTGTGTAGATTCGTTATTGGTATTGTTTTTCAGACGAGCAGTTGTTTTGTTTGGTGTCCCGTTCCAGTATTCACTATCTCGACGTCTGCGAGCGCGGTTGGCGTAAGTGGATTGTTAGTGAGGGAGAGGCGTCCAGTGGTGGAGGAATATAAGGAGCGTATTTTTTCCTTAGGGGAATTAAAAAAATCTGTGTTTCTCGTCAACGAACAAGAGTTTTGAGCTAACAACACATATTCGGAACATTATATATTTGTTTTCCTCAGCTGAGTTCAGAAGCTTACACTATGGTAGAATTGTTCAGAGAGCACGAAAAATTTCGTATTGTCATGAAGAAATACAGTTGATGACGATAGGTACATCCGCGATACTCATGGAATTTCAGAAGGAGAGTTCCTCACGTTTGACGCCATGCGAGCTGCTGCGCAGTGTGTTGGAAGAGTGCTGAGGAGTAAGCAAGATTATGGTTTGATGGTATTAGCTGATGTAAGTTGTTGATACCATAAATTGGTGAAGTTGTTGATATTGGTACCTAGGCACGGTATGCAAGAGCGGATAAAAGGAAGAAGTTGCCGCCGTGGATTGGAAAATTCCTTATACCAGCTTTCTCTAATTTGACTGTTGATATGGCGGTAAGAATTTATGGAATTACGGTTGTATTTTTGAGTTATTTTTCACTTCTATGCGGATTTGTGAGGAAAAATGATAATTTTCGTGATGGAAAAATATGAGAACCTTTGAAAGTTTACAATCACGATGAACAGACCGATTTTTTCTGTCGTAATTTCTGAGTTCTCACCAGTGCGATCGAATTAATTAGCTTGGCATTTATTCCCGACATTTTGGTATATGAAAATGGAGTTTCACCACTCTAGTGATATGGAAAACATTAGTGAAAAATGGAGTTTCACAACCCGTTTTACGTGTAGTGGTGTAAATCTTGATGAAAAACGCGGTCGTGGTCGTGGTCGTGAAATATGTTTCTCACTAGTGTTTTTCATATCACTAGAGTGAAACTCCAATGTATTTCACGATGCTGCATATCACCGCGAATATCGTCGTTTTTCAAGGAGTATTGCGCCACTTCACGTAAAACGGGTTGTGAAAACTTGAGTACTGTATCACAGGAATATGGTAGAATTGTAGAATTGTCTTTCTACTTTGTAGAATTCAGGTTAGCTCAGCAAAGGAGTTCCTATTGTCGATGTCACAGCCAATGAAGCATCAAGCTGGGCTTAAAGGTGATGGAGAGCCAACACGCTTAGTAGGAGCAGAGGAAGCTGAGCAGTGGTAAGTAATGCTCTTTCTATTTGTTTGTAGTAGCAATCACCGCTCTTGTTATGATGCATTTTGTTTTTGGTGAGTCTGATGACGTTCGATGACGAATGCAAGGGTAGTCAGTGTATTAGACTCTAAGTGAAATAATAAAGACTCACATTAATGATTTGATAAGAAGTATATAACTGTTCAGAAGAGCAAGAAGGCTGTTTTATCACGTTACTACAACACTTGTAAAAAGGACTCCGATCAGTTTTGTGGTGGTGTTTACCTTGGTCTCGAAAGCTGTTGCTGGATGATTAATTATAGCTCACATAGAAGTAGCTACCTGCGCAATACTATCAAAGTTTGTTTTCTGAGTGTCTTGTAATGTTGTTGCATGTGAACAAGTAGGAGTCTATGATATGTGAAAATACTATGAATATGAATGTCTGGGTGTTGATTTTCTCGTTCGCCCTCATATCTCGGTAACGGTTCCGAATATTGCAGTTTCATTGAAGTGTATAAAAGCTATTCATTACATCTATGCTATGTTGAAGTTTCAGCTCAAAACTCTCATTTGTTAACAGATTTTCTGGATTTGCCTAGGAGAAAAATACGCTTCTTATGATATGAATATGTATAGAGGTATAGCTGCAAGCTCAGTCACTGTCTGAGCGCTGGTAGGACCTATAAAGGGCTAGGGCTATACCTCTATACGGCTTGGTAGAAGGGGTGATGCGCAAGAAGATATGACTAACACTAGTGAAAAATAGATTTTACGACTACTGCATATCACCGCGAATAACGCGTGTTTTTTTCACAGAGTATCACGCCACTTCACGTAAAACGGGTTGTGAAACTAAAATTTATATTATGAAATCATTCCAATTCTGCAATTATGTTGTGTCTCCTCAGGTATCTGCGAGAGCGAGGGAAGCGTGGTCTACCTGCTGACCAGGAGGGTGCTCCTGATCCCCAACATATGCGGTTTACAGATCCATCGTTAACTGTCACCACTTGAATTACGTAACTGTTGTTTCTAAAGATGGCTCTTTGCGTTTTATTGGAGTTTCGCAACCCGTTTCACGTGAAGTGGAAAAAGCCGATATTCGCGGTGATATGCAGTAGTCCTGAGATATGTTCTTCACTGGTGTTTTTCATGATATCACTAGGGTGGTGAAACTCAACTGTATTTCACAATGCCCAGTGCTATAGTATTAGTACGCCCTTCAATACAAATCTCCAATTTCGACGTCGTGCATAGTCGAATCTTAACCATGAATCACTTCCAGAGATGTTTTCGTGAAAAATGTTAGTTGTATTTTTTGATATGTTTATTATTTTGTATTTTGGTATTTTATCACTTGTAGTTTCACCCGTTTCGCGTGAAGTGGCGTAATACTCTGTGAAAAAGGCGATATTCGCGGTGATATGGAGTAGTCGTGAAATATACTTTTCACTAGTGTTTTTCATATCACTAGGGTGGTGAAACTCCAACAAAGGTTGTTTTTCCTGATGTACGATGAAACCAGTTTCGGGTGAATTCAAACTACAGCAGTTCGTAAGAGTTGTTAAAGTCGCTCCTGGTGTTCGAGTGGAAACTTGCACAAGTCGTATACTGTACACTCAAGGTGAGTATATGTGTGAGTGATTTTCTAGATAAAATGCGTTTTTCAGGGCCGAGGAGTTTCCTGAGAGAAACTCAGGAAAGGGTGAATCGGTTTGCCCGAGACTCGTCCCGTTGGAGTTTTCGTGATGATGATGGTTATCAGAAAAATCCTTTTGATCCACGGAAAAAAGGTGGGCTTGATTTTCCCCAAGGTGTGATGATGATTTTCAGGAAGTCTGTTGAAGCGAATTAACGAGTTTGTTGACCGCAGCTTTGAAAAAATCGAAGTGAAAATGGAAAAACCACCATCGCGAAATATTATGGAAAAAGTCGACAAATTTGAGCAAAAACGTGAGGTGAGTTTTAATGTTTTTTTTCTCATACCACTCCTTTGGTTCTTCTCAAGAATGCTGCTCGAAGGCTCCAACCAGTGTTGCGGTCACCAGCTGGGCAGAAGGCGTATGAATGGCGATATCGATATAAACGGTGGATCGATGAAAGTGTGCTAATTTTTCCGACTGCGGAATTATTCCCTCGTGTTTTCAGAGACTCCTTACCCTGTGACTACCACTATGTTGCTCCTGGCTGGTGTTACCTATCTAGTCTGGGGCTTCGCTCCGTCGAAGTTTATGTGAGTTTTCCACATTTTGGTGGTTGTTAATTGTTTTTTCAGGAACCGCAACTTCACAGTGAGCAGAGAAAACCTCCTGCATGGTCGTTTCCACACGTTGTTGACGGCAAGTCTTTCTCACACGAGTTTTACTCATCTTCTCGTTAACTCGGTACATTGTATATACCATAATTTCCTCAAATCATAATCGTTTCAGTTGGTGGTTTTCGTGTACGGCTCTCAACTAGAAAGACTTCTGGGTGGACCCGCGCTGATCAGGATCGCCATCACCAGTGCTGTCGCGGGAAGTCTCGGACATGTAACTCTGCTGTCAATGTTTATAGGATTTCCTCAGCTCGTTATTATCGATCAGATCCTCACTGCTAGTGATAAAAGAGACGCAGCGGTCGGTGGCAGCGGAGTCGCCTTCGGACTACTTACGGCGTCGTGTTTGCTGGAGCCGAACTTGATGGTTTATATATGGGGTATGTGGCCAGTAGCTCAGAAGAAACTCTTAGCTGGGGTAAGTGATTCAGCGCAGCTACTCTATATGTATTCATTCGATGTGGGAGAATTTATTCGAAAATTTATTCGGTTTTGGAGGGGACGTGATCATTAGTTTTGTCACAAAGTGAAAGAGAGAGATCGTTGATTAGAAGCAACTGGTCGGTGGTTGATTCGAATGGTGTGGGGGGGAATATGCACATGGTCAACTAAATGTGTTGGTGATGACAACATGAAAATTCTGAGGAAATTTTGGGAAAATCTTGTTTTTTCATGTAAACTCATGCAAATTAGTGAGAGCTCAGCAGAGTGAAACGAAGATCGATTCAAATGGGACTTTCAGCGCAGTAAATGATCATATAGGATTTCTCGTGTAGTTATACACGAGAAAGTTTTGATTTTTCCAATGACGGTTCGGTCCTAATTGTTGAGTAAAACGACCGTGTTTCATCGGTGTGAAAGTAGGAATATATGTTCGCTTCTCTCAGCTGAAGTCAAGGGTTTGCTCACATAGGAGTTCACACCCGAGTTCGAGTAGGAATGCTCAGAAACCAATAAGAACTCGCCGAAAATTTCATATTGTCACCGACACATGTTACATATACTGCAGTTTTTATCCATTTCGTAGGTCCTCGCACTAGAGGGTATTTGGGCCTTCGCTTCGCTCGGTGATAGCCATGAAGCATTGGTTGGTCACAGTTCTCCGAGTGTGTCGCATTCAGCCCACCTCCTAGGGGCGGCGTCGGCTCCTCTAGCACTATACTGGTTGAGGTGGTTTGCCAAAATACGGTGAATTGATGATACGATTGATTTCTGAACAAAAATGGAATCGCGTTGTGATGGTCAATTCGAAGCTGTCTCCTTTTTTGTGTCATTGACGATGTTGAATGATTCTAAAACGGCTAGGTAGGAAGTTACATAATCAGCATTTTTTGGTTTTTCATGTTTGCCATATATTTGCTATCACTGTTGGTGGCCTCAACGGCTTCAGTCTCCCCTACTGCTGATCTTCATCGAGTTCCCTACCTCCCCGGCTACGGTCAGGTTACTGGAGTTTACGCTGGACATGTACCGCTCGACTGGGTATGGTCTGCTTTCTATGTTACTATGTCAGGTTCTGGCAAACAGATCATCTGATGGTCATCTTTGGTACATGCTATTCGAACATGAGGATCCTCTTGATGATAACGAGGAAGACGTTCCTCTGTTGTTGTGGCTGAATGGAGGCCCAGGAGCGAGTGAGAGCATCATCTCAGTCTTCATGCTGTTCATGTTGGTGGTTCCCCCTCAGGCAGTTCCCTGGGTAACCTACTCGAAAACGGCCCGTATCGTCTTCACCCGAATATGTCGTTGACGGAGAACCCATGGTCGTGGGCTAGACTTGGTCATTGTGTGTATTTCGATCAGCCTGTTGGTGAGTAACTCTCGAAAATGATGGAATTATGGTTGTTTTTTGCAGGAACTGGGTTCTCCTATAGTAACTCTGATGGGTATGTGACGGATTTCCATCAGTTGGCTGTGCAGTTTTCTACGGCGCTTGATAGTTTTTTTGAAATTCATCCGAATTTACGGAAAGCTAGGACGTGAGTTGAATGGAATTTTATGTTGATGACACTTTCGAGATGGTATGTGTAGGTTCATCACGGGGGAGTCGTTCGCCGGTGTTTACATTCCAGTGATAACATCTTATATTTTGGAAAGGAACAAAGAGCTTCCTGAAGAGAACAGAGTAAATCTCGAAGGAATGATAATTGGCAACCCTGGCAACCTCCATTGGATACAGTACTTGTCGCGAGTCCTCCGAAAGGCGACTATATGACCGTTTCAAGATACCATTCATCGATCGAATACTTTTACGTCCAAGGCCTCATCGGGTCGAAAGCAAGGGAACATGCTGAAGGAATGTGGCGATCAGTAGGGTCGTTGCTGGTTGATGAGATATAGACGGATTTGGTAGGTGGAGAATTTGATGGCGGCTGGTCGTGAAGTGGAAGCCTTCCAGAAGGCTGAGGCAATGCAGGAGTACATGCAGAAGGCTGCTGGTCACCCCTTCCTGTCAGTTGAGGGCAGTTGGGTTTGGTGTGGTATAGGGTCTATGCAGATACGACACACGTCAATGGGGTGACACGTTTAACAATATTTACTCGGCTGCTATGAAGGAGTACTTCTCGAGAGATGACGTCAATGCGGCGTTTCACACAGGAGGTATCAAGTGGCAGAATGGTGACGGCACTGCTGCGCCCAATCCAGTAGCTATCAAATTGCAGACGAAATTGATGAGCCCGGTAAGAGCTTTAACAGCGCGGATCGATGAACTCAGCTGAATCGTACAGGTCCTGAGAGAGATCAAGTCCATCTTGTCTGCGGGCTTGCCGACGATGATCTACACAGGAGTATTCGATGGAAGTTCATGTGACACTCTTGCTACCAGTTTACGACTGATCCAGCTTCGATTCAGGTGGCCACTTGAGCGTTATGGATGCCCTCCATATGGTCGCCTACGAGCCTCTCGAAGAAGCTCCCAGAAAGCTGTGGATGGGCTCAGAGCATCCCTTCGGGTTTGTTCAATCAGGTAGGTCGTGAGGGTCTCTGTTAATAATAAGTCCTTTCCTAGGTGGTGCCCTTACTTTCGTGTGGGTATCCAACTCTGGTCATATGGTTCCGACGGACCAGCCTGAGGCCGCCCTTGATATGATGGACAGATTCGTAAGTCCAAACTTTTGATATCCATGAATGTGGTTGTGTCTTCAGCTTCACAATCGATCGCTTGCTGAGGGAGAGAGAGTTCCAATTAAGGCCGCTGCAGACGCAGAGAAGGTAGAGACTCTCTCCATGCCGAGCGTTGATCACAGAGTGGTGTATTCAGACCCTACTATAGATGCAGTTGGCAGTCAATACTTTTTTGTGATGATGTTGCTAGCTGCTAGGTCATTATGACCAGTTTCTGTGTGAAGAGAGATTTATTTGTGTTACCGAGTCCAAAAAAATAGTATGCCGATGCTTCATTCTCTGATGAGAGGTAGCTAGAAGTATGTTCTGTCTGTACGAGTATCCGCAACCAAATTATCCGGCGGTTAGATTGAACCCACGCAAGAACAAGTCCGCTGGATATCGGACGATATCTATGACCATTCGACTAGTGCGTCCGATATCTGGGGGAAGAGCACCTATGTGAAGCATAGGTACACGTACAGCATAAACAGTCCATAGTTCGTAACGCGAGCCATGCTTATGGTTCTCCGCACAAAAGTAACCTCCTGACTATTTGGGTACCCTAGTAAATCAATAGCTTCAGAAGACGAGTTCACGAAAGAGCCTGGATGAGAACTTGACAACCAAACACACTTCATGAGTGGCATTACAATTCCTGATGCATCATCGAGTAATCTATATACAACACACAGTCAAATACATCTCCATGGTCCCTCGTACAGGACCTGGACAACGATTTCGGAGCAAAGACTCTGCAAGACGAGAGAGATAATAAAGCGAGAAACAGCTCGAGCGAAACGGAAACTAGCATATAAAATCAACTAAGTACAGGACAACCTCCAACGCCGAGCCAAAACAGTCATACTGCGTAGGAAATATGACCAAGAGTCGGTGGTGGATCGCCACTCTTCGTAGTGCCTGACGGGGTATCCGAGCTGCAGCTCGAAGTCACATCATCGGCCGAAGAGGCTTTATTCTCTTTTTCTTCCTCTTCCTTATGACTTCGAGCACCTTTCACAACAGGGTTGAACTTGGCATTGAAATAGTCAATCAAATGAGCCACCCATGGCAGCATCGAATCCAAACCATCTCTACGATACTTGACTACTATCTGTAGCCAAGCTAGAGTAAGCAGTCTCCAAATGAGGCCAAGACCAAAGAGAACACAGAAGTCACGAAGTACATA